CCTGGCTCTGCCTCCCGAGTGCTGGGATTAAAGGCGTGCGCCACCACCGCCCGGCCTCCTTTTTGCTTCTTAAAGGTCCTTGAGCCATAGCTCAGCCCCGTGACCTTCCAGACAGGATCCTGGCCACGCTTTCTGCATGGTTCCCACCCTCCCCCCCCCCCAATAAGTGCACTTCTCCCTTTTTGGGCCTTCTGAGAATCCTAGAAGGTCACTAGTGGAAAGGACCGTGTTGATAGCAAAAGAGGAAACTGAGAAACCGTGGCCCATCTAACTGCTCCCGCCTGCCAGTACCCAGCTTCCAGAAGGGTCTCCGTTATTTAGGAGCCAAGTGCTGTAGGACCCTCTTCCCTCCCCTGACCTGACCAGTGGCGAAATAAAAAGGTCTGGTTGTCCTATAGAAGAGGATTTGGAGGGTATTGCTGTAAAGTCACAAACCCCAGGATAGGAGAGTGAAAAGCAGAGTGAGTCTCATCTCACCTGCATCAATCTAGGGGCTTCGGAATTCCCTAGAAAGATGAAGAACTGTCTGGAAAGACTCAGACTCGGTGTCTGAGAGCAAAGTGATTCAGGTGGAGCAGAGGGAGGTCTCATGACGAGATTCGGGAGGGTTTTCTCAGCCTGTGCTTTGTCCTGTAGGCACAACAGTGCAAACATACACCTAAGTGCATTCTGGGGACGGGATCCTCATTCTCTCCCTCCCTGAACCATTGGCAAAGAACCTTACCTAGGCAGATGGACTATGCCTGCCCTCTTGCAAAATGTTTATCTATTACTTTATTCATTTCTTTCTTTAGCAAAGATTTTTAACGCCTGTGTCAGCCCACAAGGGAGCAACCATCATCAAGGGAGATGTGACGACTGTCCCCATGGAGTGTGTGATCCAACGGGTATAATTAAAGAATGTCACAACAGAGCGGGACTAGAGTGTCACGTGAGCAGGAGACAGTGCTAACAGAAGAAGCAGATGAGAGAACTCGGCTCAGGGAAGAGGTCAAAGCCAATCTAAGCTAGGTGAATTGAAGGATAGCACCTCAGCCTCAGAGAGGTTAATTCTCCAGGGATCACACATCTAGCAAGATCACTCCCCATCTGTATAAATGCACTGGGTTTGAATCCTACTTTTGCCACTTTCTGGATTAAATGCCCCTTGGTACATTACTGAATTGTTCTCGTCCCTGTTCCCTCATCTGTAAAACAGAATATAAGAAACCTGCCTGGACTGTACAGAAAACCAAATGTATTAGCATAACAATCTTTCTGAGTGGCCTTGGGACCCTCTGAAAGTCCCAGAATTCTTTCAAGGGCTCCATGAAGTCAAATTTGTACAAGATACTGAAACAGCATTTTATGGCATCATAAAAGTCAAATGTAGGTATCAATTTGGCTGCCTTTGAGTATGTTCATGAAAGAGATCTAGAAAATGTAAAATGTGCCATTCTTTTCACTACTTTTTATTTTATAAAATAAAATTAATGGACCAGAGAGATAGCTCAGTAGTTAAGAGCACTGGCTGCTCTTCCAGAGGACCCAGCTATAATTCCCAGCACCCACACGGTAGCTCACAACTGTCTGTAACTCCAGTTCCAGGGGATCCAATGACCTTCTCTGACCTCCTTGGGGACTGTATACATATGGTGCAGAGACATCCATGGAAACAAAACTCATTCACATAAACTAAAAATAAATAAATCTTTTTTCAAAGAGAAGGAACAAAGGTGTATGGTAGTACATGCCTATAATCCTAGCACTTGAAGGTAGAAGTAGGAGGGTCAGAAAATCAAGGCAGAGTCAGCTACACAGCAAATTCAAGGCCAGGCCAGGCGACATGAGACCCTGTCACAAAACAAAGACTTTTCCCACAGAACCAATTACTAAATATTTACTTTTCTAACACCAGATAAAAATCTGTATCAACATAAGTTCTTTGGGGTCTTCAACAATTTCGTTGTAAACTAGCAAGTGTGAGAGCCACTGAACCAGCCTTTATAAAATGTTCCCATCAGTGTCAGTAGGTCCTTGGTCACTGTTAGTCACCAGACTTATATGCTCAAAGACTTAACTTTGCTGGGTGTGGTGATGCATGCCAACAATGCCTGTTTTTGGAAGATGGAGGCAGGAGGCAAGCACTCATATACATAACACATAAACACTCACATACATAACACACAAACACATACATAAAACATAAACACTCACATACATAACACATAAACACTCATATGTATAAAATGTTAAAAACAAATCTTCAAAAAGCAAAAAGAGACCAGGTGTAAGGGCACATGCCTTTAATCCCAGCACCTGGGAGGCAGAGCAGTGGGATCTCTGTGAGTTCAAGGCCAGTCTGGTCTACAGAGCAAGTTCCAGGACAGCCAGGTCACACAGAGAAACCCTGCCTCGAAAACAAAACAAACACAAAAAGTGAAAACAAGGTTGGGTAGGGGTCGGGCACAGTGGCACATGCCTCTAATGCCAGCACTCAGTGGAGACAGGGCCAGACCTCACAGCCAGTCTGGGCGACATGAGGCTTTATCCCAAACAACAAACAGGACAACAGCAAAGGCTGGGGTACACTACAGTAGTAGAGTGCTTGCCTAGCATGTGCAAAAGCACAGGTTCAACCTTCGGTACCACCACCAAAAGAAAGGAGGTTAGCGGGGGTCAGAGAGAAGCATGAAAGATGGGGCGGAGCAAAGGGAGCCTTTCTTCTTGACTTAGGAGGATGCTGTGGAGCCCTGCTAGGAACGTACTGAGTCTTCTCCCCTGAGTATAGCCCCATGACCAAGCACTGCGTTTCCCGGCTCTGCCCTCCTGTGCCCAGCATAGCAGTCACTCAGTAAACATTTGTTGATTGCGCCGGGCGGTGGTGTCGCACGCCTTTAATCCCAGCACTCGGGAGGCAGAGCCAGGCGGATCTCTGTGAGTTCGAGGCCAGCCTGGGCTACCAAGTGAGCTCCAGGA